GGGAACACAAGACAGAATTTTATCTTCACTTAACTAAACTTAATGCATCACTCTTTGGGATGTAGGAACCAGGGAGTTCTTGGGGAGTCTGTTCATCTCTTGCAGGGATACTTTTCCATCCCCTGGGTGAGATTCCATTCCCCTGGTTGGTTTCCCAGTGTGAGGTGGTGCAGGCACTTCACCTGGAGCTGGATGAGCCATGGGTGCATTTCTGCTGAGCGCTGCCTGTCCTTGAAGTTTCTTTGCTCTCAGGGTGGAGCAGAGGCAGGCCCCAGCAGCATGCGTGTGGAAATTTCACTTCCAGAGGTTGGGCAGCTTTTCAGAGTTAAAATAAACCAAAAGTCACATTTTGCTGTTGCCATGAGAACTGTGGAGCTGTTGTTGGACCTTCAGAGTGCGCTCTGCCCTCCCGACTCCAGCTGGGCTTTGTTGAGAGCAGTGCTGGGCTGGGAGGGGCAGAAGCTTTGTGGGACCCTCGGCGGGCTCTGTGCTCCTTAGGAGGGAGCTGGGGAGCCTCCCTGGAGGAGTGTGGGAGCTGTAGGTGTGCCTGAGGTTTTGTAGGGGCTATGGGTTTTTTTCTACTGGTGGTCACATGGAAAATATGCGAGAGGGTGTGTGGTGAGGGGCTGTTGGTGCAGGGACCCTGCCCTGCTTGGGTGCTGCCTGCAGCTTGGCTCTGGCCTCTGTGCCTCATTCACTGTGTGGTACAGGTATTATCAGCAGTCTGGTACAGGTATTATCATCAGTGTGCTTTCCCTGCCCTTCTGCACCTTTCCATGTAGGTCAGGATCCATGGAAATACAGCTTTGAAATCAGGTGTAAGAAGCAGGCTGCCTGTCAAAGCCAGGTGTAGGATTTCTGGGGCTTTTGTTGTTTGGGACTTTTTTCCCTTTTTTCCCCTGAGGATGCTATATTTCTGTTCCTTGCTGCTGATGATTTTGGAAGAAAGGCATCTCCCAAACCAGCCTAGGCAAAGGGCTAATCATTTATGATGTGTTTATGCAGTCACAAGCTCGGATCCTGTGGTGGCTGTCTGCAGTAGGTCTGATGGTGCTGGGGCTAACTGGACTGGCCCTGAGGGTCTGGGGCCACAGGGACACGGCCGTGGGAGGGCAGCTGTGGGGCAGGGCTGCAGCTCATTCACTGTGTGCTCATCTTCCACCAGGGTTCATCTGTTCTGTCCTGAAGCCACCACACCACTGCTCTCCACCTCTGCGCTGGCTTATGCAGAAGCTCGTGCTTGTTCCAGCTTTTTTTCTTCCTCTGAAATATTTCCCTGTTGTATTAACTGCAGGAACGTTTCAGGGAGACAGAGATAATTCAGCTGGTTGTGAAACCAACCCTCCAAAACCCAAAGCTGCCACCATGAAAACAATAGATAAAAGGGACAGACGAGAGAGGAGGAAGGGCAAGCATATTTCAGAAAAGCTGTGCTGTTTTTGGCTCTGGCCAGCAGTTTGCATAGAAAGTAGTTTATTGTCAGCGAGAGCTGTGGACACCTGCCAGCTCTCCTGTGCAGCAGTGCTTTGTGCCAGAGAAAGGCCCTGCCTGTCAGGTCTTCCCTGCTCCAGCCCCCTGCCCATCAGCCCTTCCCTGCTCCAGCGGGCTGCTCATGAGCACCTTCCATCTTTGTTGCCTTTCTTCACCTCAGCACTGTTGAGCTGAACCCTTCACTGCAGTGGATGAATTTCTTCTCCTCTTCCAGCTCTGGGGTTGGGTGCTCTTGTCTCCTTTGGGTGCTTGGACGTCCCTGTCCCATGGGACCCCCAGCCTGCTTTGTACCCTGTGGGAGCTGGGTGTCTGCTCCGAGTTCTTGCTGCTGTTCCATCTCGTTGGGGTTCCTGGGCCTTGCTTGCTGCTGAACATAGATGTGCCTGTGAGAGAGCAGAGTGCAGTTGGGGAACGTGGGGATGTTGTTCAGCATTGTAAGGTGGTGTTCTTCGTGCTGGGAAGTGCAGCCAGGATGAGTTTGGCTGCGTTTCTGCAGCACTGAAAGTTGTAAACTCCAGCCAGAGCCATCTGGAATAGAGTAAGGAGCTCCTGAGCTCCCATGTAGGGATCTGGGTCACACACAGAGCCTTTCCAGGAGCTTTAAGCTGTCTGATCAGTTCTTTTTTCCACTCCACCTCATCTCCATGCTCATCAGTGGCACAGGTGAGCAGTGTTGGTGGGGAGGCTGTGCCCAGCAGGCTGCCACCCCAGCCCAGCAGGGACAGGAACTCCCAGCAAGCCCACACTCGTGTGCTCCCTGTCTTATGGGAAGAGACTGCTCGAAATGCACCGTCTGCATTGTCTTAGTTCTGTTATGAAATGCAGAGCAGGCACAAAGACAGGGAAAAATGACTCATGTGCTTATTGTCCATGGGAATATCTCCGGGAGGAAGTGCGGGTAAAGCTCTGCAGAACCTGGGTTCTGAGTGTGTAATGCAAAACTGGTGCTGGGTAATTGGAGTTGTGAAAAACACCTTGTTCAGTGCTTGAAAAAGTAATTCTCTCACTTTGAAATACGCTATGGTACAGAACTTTGGAAAAACTCTTCATTGTACCAGAGCTTTAGAGGATGTCACAGTATACTTTAGTGTAAAGCCAGAGCTAGAACATTAATAAGAAAAGTGTTCTATCTCGCCTGCCCAAAATGGCACTGTAGCTGAGGCAGGATATTTAGCAGTCTTTACCTCTGCTGAAAAAATGGAAAAAACTCTTTGTTGTGGTTCCCATTAAAAATTATCCAATCCTGAATATCTACAGTTGAGAAAGAAAACTGTTAGCTTCCTTTTTTATAAGTTTTCCTGCTTTTCCTTGGGAAGAAGAGTTTGGCCATGGTGGTGGTGGCCTGGCAGCCCTGGTGTGGAATTCTGTGGCCGAGGTGATGCCCCTGGTGCTTGTGCCTCATGCCAGCACCTAAAGCAGGGCAGGCCTTGAGCAGCCTCTACCACACCACAAGGAAACTGGTGCCAGCACATGGGGAAACCACAGGAACCCTCTTATGTGTCACTGAGTGTCCTTGTTAGCAAGGTTAAAATCTCCACGTGTCCCTGTTTTCACAGGGAAATCCTTGGAAGCCAAAGCTTTGAAAAAGGTTCATCTCTAACTTCTGTTTTCTACTGCTCTGTTGAGTGAAATGTGTTTAGAATGGAGATGCCCTAGGCAGGATTTTGGGGGTGGTGGGCTGCAAATTCTGCTGTGGGACAGCTGACCCTGCTCAAGCCTGGAGGTGCCAGAGGAGAGCTTTTCCTGGTGTCAGCCACCGCGTTGAGCTCGGCCGTGGACCAAGTCCACTGCTATTTACTCTGATTTTTGTCAGTGCTGGATGTAGCCTTTATAAACACTCCTGTTGCCAAATTAAGCTTTTCCCCTTCCAAAGTCACCTTAAGTGACATTCTTCTTCTTTACCCTTCGCTTGGAAGAGTTTGCCACCCAAGAGAGGCAGAGGTTCTGCCGGACGTCCGGGGCCGTGGCAGTCCCTGTGTGCTCCCTCCTCATGCAATGACACAGAGAAGCCTTGCTGGCTTGGAAAAGAGTTCCTCTGCTTTGAAAGCAGCTTGTATGTGGAACTGAAACTGCTTTGCTCAGGCTACCAGAGTGTTGTTAGGGGAGATCCCTGATGCTGCATTACGGCTTGTGCTCCTTCTTGGAAATGCAGCCCGCTTCCATCAGCTTAATCTTACTGGTGCTCACAGACTAAACTGACAGCAAATTCCATTCTCTAACATTTGTAAAGCATGGAAAGGACAAAGTGCTTGAGCTTCAAATGATGGCATTTGGTTTACCAAGATATATGGGGTTTTTTTGCTTAGAAAACAGGGGTGCTTCAGGCTGCCTGTGCAGCTGCGGCTCTTCCCCCAAACGTGCACCCAGATGGCTCCTGTGTATCCTGAGAGATTGGTCCCAGTTACTGCTGGTGGCCTGGGATGCAGATTCCCAGGCATCCCTTTCCCAAACATTCCCTCCTAGCGTGGCATGGAGTGGCCTGAGCAGAGCATGATCTGGGCAAGGCAGACAAGTCTCAGGTTGGGCAGCCCTCTCAACTGGGTGTGCCAGGGAACCTAACACAAGGCTTGGGACCTGCAGAGAACCTTTTCCTTTGTCATTAATCACCCTCTGAAGCATTGGCCCAAGATTTGAATCTCTATCCCACTGCTTTTTTGCCTGTGATCCGTTTCCAAGGTAGTGGACAAAAGTGGGAATAATTCAGAAGTCCTTGTGAGAGAGCCCATGTTCTCCTTGTTGGGAAGGGGATGGAGGGATGGGAGGAAATCCCTCTCAGATGCTGTTTGTTACTGGAGGGCTGCAAGGTCTCCATTTCAAGAGGAGTGATTTAGTGTGTGGATATCTTCTGGCTTTAAAAAAAAATAGACTTTTTTCTTCCTCCCTTGAATCTGAAGCAGCATAAGAGGCATGGAACTAACACATGAGCATGTTTGTCCAGCTGATTAGGCAGACATGGCATACCCAGGGCTGACCAGCCTTGTGCCAGGAATATTGTAGAAATCAGCCAGCTGTCTTTGTTGACATTGCTAAAACAGAGCTTCACTTAGCAGCACCAAGGAAAAGCTGAAGGGGAAGCAGAGCAGGGGTTGAGTCCAAGGTAGTGAGACAAAGTACTGCCCCTCGTGTTCGTGGATATTTCTTGTTACTGGAGGTGTGGAACTGAGTCAGAGGCGTGCTCTGGCTTCAGTCAGGTGGTGCTGGGTGGGAAAACAGAGATGCTCTCCTAGGATGAACTTCAGGAGCTATGGAGGAATGCACATGGCTCCCGTGGGATGGGGAGCTGCTGGCAGTGTCCCATTCCAGTGGGCTTAGAAACACTGCCCCTTTAAACCCAAGAAGCCGTGGGATTTTTAAAATGCAGATGTTTTGGCTGCTTCAAGATGATGAGGCGTTGCCTTTCCTTATGTACCTACTGCTCTCTTCCTTCAGGTTACGAGGCCCTGAGCTATTCTGTGGAAAGTGGTGACAAGTGGAGCGGGCGGCAGCTCCTGCAGGCGCGCGAGCAGAACGCGAGTGATCTTCCAGAGGATGGGGGGCAGCTCTACATCAGAAACTGCACTGAACCAGGTAGGAATGAAAGCTGCCTCTGGCTCCTCAGCCCTGCTGATGGCTTCCTCACATCTGTACTGCCAAGACTCGCTTGTTTTTAAGTCCATAAATGCTGCTCTTCGCAGCAGAGTTTGGATATAATTTCCTCAAGTTTTGGGGAGGGGAGGGGAAGGGTTTTTCTCTGTTCTTCAGGACTAATGTAGGTTACCTGCCCCAGGAGAAATTCTAACAAATCCAGTTCTGGCTGCACTTCTCTGCCTATAATTTTTCCTCTGCCATAATCCTTAATAACATTTCTGGACAGATGGATGATTATGGTCTTTTTTAGACAGCAAAGACTGGTACAAAAATTCTTCTTACTCAATTTTTGCTTGTTTGCATAATTCTGGCAGAGTGCAGACCCAGTCTCACAGCCTCACATCAGCACTGGCAGTAATATTTTCCCCCACTGTGCTCGGTACCTCAGCACCTTCTGTCTCACCATTGCAGCTGTTCCTGCTGCCCTTACCAAATACAGTGGTCTGTAGGAAGCGTGGGAGATTTTATTTGTGGTGTGTGGGGTTTCATCCCCTTTTTTTTTTTCAGAAAGTAGAACAATAACTACTGAGTACCCTGTGTTTTCTCAGGAAAGAGAAAGCAGAAATACCTAGATATGTGAAATTACTGTTTCTTCTTGAAATTGTCAGGATGTGACATTCCGTGGTGGAAACCGATGTGAAGTACTGCAGAAAGTGAAGTGAAAGTAACAGAGTTAAGGTCCTGCCTGTGGTTCTGTCGATTTTGTTTGTGTTTGTCATAGTGCAAATGCAAATAACGTTAAGTAGTGTTAAGTACTGTTGGTGTCGGGCCAGGTGGCAGTCAGAAGGATTTGGGAGTGAGACATTCCCAAAATGCAGTGTCTGTGGAAGTTACCTGTGGGGCTGGTGGGCTGAGGATGACCTGCAGGATGCATCAGTTCTGCTGCTCAGCGAACAAGAGCTGGCAGAAGGGCATGGCATGGGCACATCAGTGGCAGCAGTGCTGCCTGTGGTCCTGCAGCACGAGAGAGCAAAGTGGTGTTAGCTGGGCTTTCATGTTTGGAAGTGTGGCCAGGAGCAGGGTGGCTCAAATCCTGTCAGGCAGAGCTGCTGGAAAGCTCCGTCCCACATCCCCAGGGCAGCCCAGTCCTTCTCTTGGCTGTGCTGGTGCTGGATCAGGCCCCAAATGGTGGCACAGCAGTTGGGGTTTCACCAAGCACGGCTGCCTTTGCCTTCTCCAAGGGCTGCTCAGGGAAACTGGGGCACTCTGTGGTGCTGCTGAGCACACTGCATGAGTGCTGTACAACCAGAGCCTGGGGGCCCCTTGTAACCTGGGAATCTGCAGAGCTCAAACCTCCCTGGCATCCCCACAGCACCACGTGTGTTGGCCTTCAGGTTCTTCTCCTTCCCTTGAGCAGGTGTCAGGAGGGAAAGGCTGCCTGAAAAGGATTTTTTTTCCTGCTTACTTCCGAAGTGAGCCTGTATAAACCCCTTGCAGCTCAGCAGAAGTGGACATGGCACTTGGTGCTATGGTCTAGTTGAGGTCTTAGGGCATAGGTTGGACTCGATGATCTTAGAGGTTTCTTCCAACCTCATTACTCTGTGATTCTGTGTTTAAGAAAGCAGTTTTACCTCGCCTGCTGGTGGAGGGAAGTGGAATGCCTCCTGTTAAAATGTGCTGTGGCTTTTTGCAGTGCTTGGCCTCTGTGCTGTGTTGGCAATAAACACACCTTGACGTGCTAAAGGGGAGATGTGTGTTCTTTAGCTGCTCGGGTGATTGCAGGCTCATTTGAATGCCTGCCATGACATTTGCCAAGTGCTGCTTTCATTTCCTAATGGTTTATCCAATGGCCTGTCTAGTATCATTTCATCATCAGGGGGTTTTGCTCACTTTGCCTTTGCAACAAAAACGGTAGAAGTATTAAAGTGGAGAAATGGACTGATTCCAGCCTAAAGACCATTTTTAGGATTTTTTTGGGGTTTTTTAAAAACTTTTTCTGAGAAATGCCTATCATGGGCTCTGGCCTGGTCCTGTGGCTGTTTGTGGTTGTGTTGAGTGCCTGTGGAAGCAGAACCACAGAGCAGCCTGCTGCCTTTTCTCAGGAGCCTCTTGTCTCTTGCTGCCTGTCCTCTGAGTGTCCAGCCCTGCAGTCAGGGCTGCTTGTCCCCTTCCTCTTGGATCTTGGTGGCTTCTCGTGGCAGTGTCTGCTGTCAGACAGCAGATGCTCTTCTGGCCTCTCCTACCCATCCCCTTGTCCTTGTGGTATCCACATGAATGTGTGTGGAACTAGAAATGGACAAAAAAAAAAATTGGACAGTTTATTCACTGAAGTAGTGATACTGTTTAAATGAAACACTTGTGATTCTGGGCCATGTTTGACAGTTTCAGCTCATGCAAAAGATGAAGAGGAAGGAGTGAGAATTACTTGTGTCAATTCAGGCAAAGTATCATTTACTCACCCAGTCCTGTTCAGAGATGTGATTCACCCCCTGGAAGCCAGGAAAAAGGATGTTTTAAAGCTGGTTTAATGTTGGGTCAGGTCCCTGTGCTACCAGATTCAGAACTCGAACTGCACTGGAGGAACTCCAGAGCTTGCTCTTGTTTCAGACGGGGTTCATTAACTCCAGAAGGTGACAGGCTCTGGGGCTGTGTCAGGGTGGGATGTCACCTGTCTGGAGGTGCAGGTTGGAGGGGCTGGCCGAGGTCCTGGTGCCAGCCCTGGTTAGCTCCTCTCCAGACTGACATATGCTTGCTCTGAGGAGCTGTCATCACCTTCTTTCCTCCCCCGCTTTAGCGCTTCCACTCCCGCCTCAGAAAGGCTGAAAATAAAGTAACAGCCCTGCTTAAATGTGCTGTTTTAAAGTCATTATCAGTAATGGCAGGAAATACTTGATTGCTGCAGGAACAAAAAGATCTCCCCGTATTCATTTAGACCCTCAGGCATGAAAGTGCTTAAATTAAACAGCCAAAGAAGTTTTTGTGCAATTATTTTTTTACATTTCCTCGTCTTATTTCGAAAGCAACTTTATCAATATTTCTCCTGTGAGTCATAGCTCATTTGTAGTGCTTGGCTGTGGAGCAGGTAACCCTTGCTGGCTACTCACTTGTGGCTGTGTCTTCAGAGCCCCTTTGGCACTGAACCACACACCCAGACCCCTTTGAGTGGAGCTGAGCCTTCTGATCTCTTCCCTCTTTTTTGTTTATGCACGTGGTGGGCTTGATGTGGTGTGAATTCTGCTGGGCTGTTATGCCCAGAATGAAGTCCAGAGGACTGCAGAGTTTAGAAAGGCCTTCTTCCCAAGCAAATACAGCATCCTATTCACTCTTCACATGAGTGATTTTGTGTTTTGTGTTCCTTTTTTTTCGTGTTCCTCCTTGAGCCTCAATCCAATTGAAAGTTGCCTTCCCTCAAGCAAAATTAATTTCATCCTAGCAAAATGAAAAGTAAAAATTTGTTCCTGCCTTGCAAGTTGCCAAACCTTGCTTTCACTTGGGAGAACGTTAGAAAAATAAATTGCTGTAAGTTTAGTAACAAAATATCCTTGAGGAATAGCAAAAAAGATGTTCTTCTCTCACTGAGCTATAAGTTTGGTGAATTTGACAGAAATTTGCTTGAACTTCTGCTTCTGCTGAACACTTTGCTTCGCTTTGTCAACTCCAGTCCTAAAGCATCAGAAAACCAAGATGCTGGGGTTAGAACCTCGAAAATAAAACTAAAACCATGCTTGTTTCTTCTGGGTTCTTGTGCTGGCAGGGAGCTGGGTTCTCCCTTAGTGCATCCAGGAAGGAGAGATGTTTTGGTGGTGGGACCAGGGGCTGAGCTTTGGTGCTGGCCCCAGGGAGCTGGGGCTCGGGGAGCCAGGTGTGTCCAGACACTGGATTTGGATGTGTCCCATTTGAGGGGAATGTGCAAGGCAGCTGAGGGCTTTGGAGCTCTCCTTGCAGAGCTTCCTTGGTTAGAAACCACGGTGGGTGTTTCTCCTTTTCTGTGCTGCGCTCTGGACTTGGTCGAGCTTGGGGTTCGCCTTCGGGGCTGGGCTTTTTTGTGAGACTGCTGGATTGTAGGGTCTCTCAGCAATAAGAGGTATTTTCTCTAGGATTTTTCAGCCATCCAAAGGGGCAGCAGCCCAAGTGTGGCTGAGTTGTGCTGCAGTGCAGGGGAGCAGGTAGCTGAGTACCATTGCTCTGGGGCAGGATGTTTTACAGCAGGGCTGTACCTGGACAGTGTGCCAAAGGGGAAGCTCAGAACAGCTGCTTTTGGCTGGGTACTTGAAAATCTGAATTGATCACCAAAACCATGCAGTTCCCTGTAAAACAGGGCCCTCTGGGCATACACAGGAGGCCAATGGTGTTCTTTTTGCTAAAATTTTGCCAGTGTTCCCATGCGATTATGTGTGCAACTCCAGGAGCCGGAGCTTCAGGGAGGAAAATAACACAAAGCTTGTGAGATAAAAATCAAGAGGTGGCAGTGGTATTACCCAGTTCATCCTCAGTGTGTTCTATTGCATCAGTGAAACAAAAGCAGGAGAAAGCAAACTCCAGATTTCAAAGCCAGCTTTGTCCCTGCAGTGCGCAGATTAATGAGCGGTGCTGAGCTCCAGAGTATCTTCCCCTGAAATGTGCTGTCAGTTTTTCCAGAATCCATAACTACACATGTATCAAACAGCTGTAATTAAACTGCTTGTTCAGGGAGAAAAATAACACAAAGCTTGTGAGATAAAAATCAAGAGGTGGCAGTGGTATTACCCAGTTCATCCTCAGTGTGTTCTATTGCATCAGTGAAACGAAGGAGAAAGCAAACTCCAGATTCCAAAGCCAGCTTTGTCCCTACAGACTGAGGAAAGGTGGTGAGCTCTAGAGTGTGTTCCCCTGAAATGTGCTGTCAGTTTTTCCAGAATCCATAACTACACATGTATCAAACAGCTGTAATTAAACTGCTTGTTCTGGGGGAGAAGAACCTTGGCTCAGCCTCCAGCGCCGCAGCGCAGCCGGGATGTGCA